TGTCCAAAGAGTTTTAGGCTCCAGGGTTTAAATAGGTGAGCAGTTGGACGACGAACAAACCAGCTTTACTCGTCAAGATTTAATATTTAACTTGCACATCTGAAAAATTTAAATTACATTTTTATTTTTCAATGTCTTGACTAAGGTCATTGGTTGGGGCAGCGCCCTCTATGGGTGGACCACCATTGAGATCAGGGGCTTGATGCAGGATATTTTGCTCAGCTAACTGTTTCACACTTGGTTTGTAAAAACCCAAGAAAAGCAGAAGCTCCTAAATACACTAAATTATGACTTCATTCACTTTAATTTTTTTTTTTTTTTTAGCTGTTATGGTTGAAACTTGAACAATAAATCACATTCAGCATCAAACAACGACATAACAAACCTCTTAAAAGGATGAAAACATTGTAAATCATCTATTTCAGTTTTTCCTACATGTAGATGAAAATGTGCATCAGTCTGTGCTCAGAGGTGCATAAGAATAAATGTATAATTATTAATATAGATCTATGGGGTGTGAGGACTTCTGAAGACAATCCCACATTTGGACAGACTGAAGCTTGGGCTCTGCTGGAGGATCTCAGGGTTCAGATGGAGCATCAGCTAGGAGGTCCTGCTGGACCTTGATGATGGTGATATTAATAATTAAGGGCTGATTTAGACCGACCAGCGTAACTATCATGAAGGTGGCTCAGGACACCAGGAGGGAATGTGCATCTAGTTTTATTGGGTCCAGGTCTGGAGACCGGCTAGGCGACTCCAGGAGGTTGAGTTGCTTCCTAAAGCGCCTCTCCTTCGCTGCTGCTTTTCAGGTGATTGTGAGAATCTCTCCAACCATGCAGCCGTTTCTGCAAACAACAACTTAGCTGTATTTAGTGTCCTTTAAAACGGAGGTCAAAGGTTGAATGATTTCCCGCTAGCCGCTCAGCTAACAGCTAGCGGTGTTCATATCTCCCTCGTACGTCTGAATGTGTTTTTTGGTTTTTAAGGATTCTTAAACTGCATCACTGAACGTTTTTCTTCTTGCTCTACACTTTATCCTGAAAAGCTTGTGTTGTTTTCGCAGTGTAACCCGAACCTGCAGGTCTTCAATGTGTTCATCGATAACATCGATGAGAGGCTCCCCAGAATCGCTCTGTTTTCCACGCGGGCCATCCGAGCCGGGGAAGAGCTCACCTTCGACTACAAGATGCAGAGTAAGCCTTCCTCCCTCTAATGCAACACTGGGTGCTTTCATGGAGGGAAAATAAAATCTGAATGTTTTTGTTTCCCAGTTGACCCAGTGGACACAGAAAGCACCAAAATGGACTCCAGTTTCAGTCTAGCCGGCCTCCCGTCGTCTCCAAAGAAAAGGATCCGGGTGGAGTGTCGGTGTGGGTCCGACTCCTGCAGAAAGTACCTGTTCTGACCGACCGCTGCAGAGAACTTTTTTAAAGCCGTACAGTTGAATCAGTTTTTTTACTCAAACACCTCCAGCTTGTGTTGTGATGAGGCAGAATTTTAAGACATGTTTTGTGAGTTTTGTTCCCCCGCAGCTTTAAAAAGGATAATTTGTTTTATGTTTTTAATTTTTAGTTTTATTCCAGACTGAGAATCAATCTGTTCGCCGTCCACAGGTGGCGCCGTTCTCCTCAGAAATGACATGCAAACCAAACCTCCATTTCCTGTTTTGGTGTAAATATTTTAGGCAGATTTTTAGAACTGTTTAAATCCCCCGCTGCTGGATCATCTGGACTTTGGATCAGCGGGATGTTTCTGATCTAGAACCGTCCATCTGGACTTTGGATCGGCGGGATGTTTCTGATCTAGAACCGTCCGTCTGGACTTTGGATCGGCGGGATGTTTCCGATCTAGAACCGTCCATCTGAACTTTGGATCAGCGGGATGTTTCTGATCTAGAACCGTCCGTCCGGACTTTGGATCGGCGGGATGTTTCTGATCTAGAACCGTCTAACCATTCCTTGCTTTTTTTTTTTAAAAAATAATATCCTGTTTTCTTTCTTCTTTATTTAGATCGATTGATTTCTTGTAAAAACTGAATCAATTCAATCAGTTCATCCAGATCACTCTTTGGATCCCTTTATTTCTAGTTTGTTCTGCATGTTGTCCTTTAGAGTGTTGCTGGTGCGCAGGTCACCAGTACGTTATGGTTTGTTTCCAGTCAGACTTGGCGTGCATGATGATGTGGCCAATCCTGTCCTCATGCCGGTGCTCTTTTATAGTCCTGATTGTGTGAGGATAAAAATAAATTAAGGAAGAATGCTCCGGCGCCGCATTTATTAGGTGAATGTTATTTTCTTTTATTCTCTCCACAGAGTGAAACTTCTGGATTTGAGCTAAATGGACAAATCTGGGAGAGAAAACCGTGACGGTCAGAGAGCTGTGTATTACTTTACATCTAAACACGCGATAAAAGGTCTGGAGGACATTTAGCGGAGCTTCAATAAAGCAAAGGAAGCCGCCGGTCCCCTAATATCTCTGCATGGATGTTTGTGAATATGAGATAAATGTACAGAAGCATTCACCTCCCCACGCCGGGGGCTTTCTACCTGTTTAGTTGCATTCTTGTAATTCTGTCTTTTTTCTTTTTATGTGATGAAATAAAATAGAAAAAATATATTTATATAAAAAGGATTAAAAAAAGAAACTCAAGATTTGCATGTTTGTATGTATCCACACCATCAGCAGATGCCAGCTGATACCTTCAAAGGTCACATGATGAGCAAAACCAAGTCCAGCTGTCCCATGAGGTGCAGTAGCACACCAGGGCTCCGTTTCATGAAGCAGGTTTAACAAAGTCAGGTTCAAATCTGCAACTAGAATTAATCTAGCCTAAAGTCTGGAATGTGGTTTTCGGCTTTACGCTATGAATTAGTTTAACTCAGATCCACCAATATCAGTGGAGCGCCGATTCCAGGAGTCACCATGACAACGGGCAACAGGAAGTGCCTATTTCACCTCACTGGAACTGCAGATTTAATGCAGAAATGAAAAAAATAAATAAAAGGAGAATGTGTTTAGAAGACAGAAACGGCGCTACAGCTGCAAAGGAGAGGATGATGGAGAAGGACTCCAGTTAATGCATAGGTATGTGTGAATTGGGCTATGGCAGGCCGTTTTTACATTTATTTAACTCTGTTCCATTTGTAGATCACTAAAATAAGACACTCCTAGACTGAACTGTAATAACAAATTTTCTAAATTACATCTTTGTAGCAGAAAATGAATTTTAGAAAGTAAAAAAAAAAATTATTCTAGTAAGAATTAAGTTTTATATATCTAGAAATGTTTACAAATTTTAAGTGGCTGTTCCGACGTTTATCATCTTGACTTAATATGTATTTTTGAT